CTTCCTTCCTCCTTCTCTCTCCCTCCTTTCCCCTGTCCTTCCCTCCCCTCCTTCCCATATCCATCCTCTCCTTCCTCCCTCCTTCCCTCCCTCCTTCCCTCCTCCTTCCTCTCCTTCCCTCCTCCTTCCTCTTCTTCCTCCTCCTCCTTCTCCTTCCTCTCGCCTCCCTCCTTCCCCTCCTACCTCTCTTTCCTTCCTCCTTCCTTCCTCCTTCCTCCCTCTTCCTTCCTTCCTTCCTCCTTCCCTCCTCCCTCTTTCCCTCCCTTCTCTTCATTCAGCCTTCCTCTTCATCCCCCTCCTTCCCCTACTCTTCCCTCCTTCCTCCTTCGCCCTCCTTCTTCCTCCCTCCTTCCTCCCTCCTTCCCTACCTATCACCAAATATTAGTCCTCTTCAGCGTGGCCAGCTAGAACTCCCACTGTCAACAAGACGACCCAACACCCTCTCCTGCTGCCCCTACTGTTTACACTCCGTCTTCCACCCTGGCGGCGTGTACCTGCTGCAGGAGGTGTGTGTATGGGTCCTCCTGTCTCTCTGTCTATCTGTCTGTCTGTCTCTTTTATATGCCTGTCTTAATTTTTTTTTATATGTCTGTGTTGGTTGTGTTGCTAAAGGCGTATGAGTCTCTCTCTCTCTCTCTCTCTCTCCTGAACCCTCGCCCTCTCTCTCCCAATTACCCCATCTCCCTCTTGTGCCCTTCTTCCCTACCTCCTCTCCTCCTCTCTCCCCTCTCCCCCCTCCCCACCTAAACCATTACCTCTCGGCGTCTTTGAACCTGGAGGAGAAGCCACTGAAACATAATTAATTTATAACTTATAGTGAAGCTGACTGCCACGTCATTGTCACCCTCTCTCCCTCTCTACCCTCCCTCCCTCCCTCTCTCTCTCTCCCCCTACATACCCTCTCTCTCCCTCTCCCTACCCTTCACGCCTTGCCTACCTCCCTCCTTTTTCTCTACCCTACACACACCTCCAACCCTTCCTCTCTCCACCTAACCTTCACCTCAGTGTGTGTGCGTGTGTGTCAGGAACAGAGAGGTCAGCTGACACCATTGATTGACAGGTGACACTTAGACAGAGCGCTACATACTGAAAGATAAACATACAGACAGTTGGTGACAGATGGATGATGATGTTTGCTGTTCCCCGATAGGATCCATCTGTGAGATATCTCACCCTATGAGTTAAACTCTCTCTCTCTCTCTCTCTCTCTCTCTCTCTCTCTCTCTCTCTCTCTCTCTCTCTCTCTCTTTCTCTCTGTCTCTCCCTCTCTCTCTCTCTCTCTCTCTCTCTCTCTCTCTCTCTCTCTCTCTCTGTATCTGTGTATGTATGCATCTATTTTTTAATCCTATTTAATCCTCTTTTCCTCTTCCTCTCTTCGCCCTCCCTCACACCCCTCCTCCTTCCCTCCCTCTTCCTTTCCCTCCCTCCTTCCTCCCTCCTCCTTCTCTCCTCCCTTCCCTCCCTCCTGCCCTCATCTCTCCTGGGCCTCCAGGTGTACTGGACAGTGTGTGTCAGGCGGGCGTCGGAGCCGTCGATCAGCTGATGAACCAAAACAAAGACCCGCCGCTAAGCTAGTCGAGGCAGTACAGTATAAATATTATGGTAACACTGCTTATATCTCTCTCTCTCTCTCTCTCTCTCTCTCTCTCTTTAGAATCCGATATACATAAAAACACACCTCCTCCAACTGTCTCCCCCCTCTCCTCCTTCAACTACCTCTACCTCCTCCTCCTCCTCCTCCTGCTCCTGCTCCTCCTCCTCCTAAATAACTTTTTTGGTGTTACTAAGAGTCGGGTATTTTATTGCTCTGGTTTTCACACTGTCATAACCAAGATGAGTCGGTGCGTGTCTCCATTCCTCCCTTCCCATCGCCTGTCTGTCTGTCTGTCTGTGTGTCTGTCTGTCTGTCTGTCTGTCTCACACACACACACACACACACCTCGCCAAGGATACACTAAAACTAACACCCTGCCATCTCTCCAGCCATGATGAGAGAGACACATTGAGAGACACTATCTCTCACTCAAGACGCTAAACCACCCCCCCCCCCTATAAAGAATTATCGGGACAAGTAACGACCCTCTGTATATGAGCCTGGCCAGTGACGTCATTAAATACATATAAATCCGGATTATTAGTTGAATTATTTATTTCTATTATATTCTTATCTCTCTCTACCAACCTTATTTTTGCCGCCACTGTTCATAAACTATCAAATTACTCTCTATCTCCCTTCTTTATCAGCGTTGTATTATTCATTATATTTCGGTATTATCTCTGTCTTATTACGAACGATAATAGAGGATGGTCTATGATAGCAGTTATTTCACATACATACATACATACATACATACATGCATACATACATACATACATACATTCAGACATACAGACATACAGACATACATACATACATACATTACACGTTTCTGAGTCATGAGTAAAGGTGATTTATTTGATGGAGTTAATTAGCAATGGTTAATTTGCTCCCACTGTGTCAATTATCTCACCTGTTTAACGTATTTACCTGCTTCCTCATCTCTCTTGCTATTTCTTTCTTTCTTTCGTTCGTTCGTTTTTCTCTTTCTTGCTTTCTTTTTTCTCTCTTTCTTTCTTTCTTTTTCTGATATTTGTTGATTTGTTCTCCTGCCCAGACGTGCCCACTTCAATCGCCAGGCATCCTGTTGAGTGTCACGCTGATACCAATGATCCCCTCAGTGCCACGAGGGAGAAAGAATGCCACACGCACACACACACACACACACACACACACACACACACACACACACACACACACACACACACACACACACACACACACACTTTTTCTCTCTTAGCTGAATCCCTTGTCTTCTCCTCCCCCTCTCCTCCACCTCCCCTTCGTTATCACGTTATCAGGTCCCCCCCCTTCCCCTACGTCACTCAAAGGCCACTCATGATGTAAACATTGACGGGGTGGTGGTGATTGTGGTGGTAATGGTGCTGGTAGTGTTGATAGTGATTGTTGGTAGTAGTTATGGTAGGGATGGTTGGTGGGGGTAATGGTGGTGGTCCTTATCAACCATAGGAAATGACAACCGTATCTTACACACACACATACACACACACACACACACACATTGCACTCTACGATCTCTCTCTCTCTCTCATCGTCATTATAATCAACGACAATATTATTAAATCTTCGATAATTATGGTTATTTGAAAGGCGGGGTCATGCTGTTGTCGTTTCGTATAAGGTGGTAATTAGGCCCGTCACACGCCATCACACGCCGTCACATGCCGTCACATTCCATCCCGGGCCGCTGCACGCTGCCCCAGGCCATCACAAGCCGTCACATGCTGTCTCAAGGCGCCACGTAGAGTTCCAAGCCGTTCTAACCCGTCACATGCCGTCCTGAACCGTCACAGACCGTCACAACCTCTATTGCAGGAGAGAGGGCTGAGGGGAGGGGAGGGGAGGGAGGGGTTGTGGATGGGGAGAGGGCAGGGAGAGGCGGTAAGGGAAAACAGGGAGGAGGGGGATTACGGTGAAGGAGGAAGAAGGAGATGAGGGGAGATGAAGAGATGCAAGGGGAGAAAATATGCCAGTAAAGAGAGAGAGAGAGAGAGACCAGAGAAAGAGGCTGAGAGAGAAAGAGAGAGACAGAGAAAGAGGCCAAGAGAGAGAGAGGGAGGAGAGAGACAGAGAGAGGAGACGGAGAGAGAAGAAAGGGGAAGTGATATTTTGGAGAGAATGAGAGGGGGGGAGTTGCTGAGGGATGTATGTGTGTGTACATGTGTGTGTGTGTGTGTGTGTGTGTGTGTGTGTGTGTGTGTGTGTGTGTGTGTGAGAGAGATGCATTTTAGTCCACAGAAAATGGCGGCTTCTTGCTTCTTTGCCGCTGCACGCTGAGGTATGTTGGCGTGTCTTGTGGACCTCCTCACCGCTCTTAACCTCTTCTCCTTCCTCCTCTCTCATCCTTCTCTTCTTCAACCCCTTTCTCTCTCTCTCTTCTCCCTTATCCCCACCTCCCTTCCTCACCCCCACCACACCCCTACCATTCCACTAATTCTCCCCCCTACCACATGCTTCCCCCTCCTCCATCCACACTACCTCACCTCACATCCCCCTTCACCCCTACCACATGCTTCCCCCTCCTCCATCCACACTACCTCACCTCATCCCCTTCCCAATTCTCTACCCACCACCTATCCCTCAATCTCCACCTCCCTCATCCCAACTCCATCCCTTCCCATCCCCAACACCTCCCTATCCCTCACCCTCCCACCCTAACTCACAAGACCCCAGCAAGTACTACCTAGTTTGCTTCAGGTCCCAGTCACTAAAAACTCAACCTGAGACGAATTTAGTTTAGTTGACCCGTTGATTAAGTCGAGATTAGCCCATCGTTGTGGCCCCATCAGAAGACCTCGCTAAGTGTCAGTCAGATAGTTATCGTTAATTGCTTTATTACTTTGGGTATTGGTGGTGGTGCTGGTGATGGTGGTAGGTGGAGATAGTCATGGTGGGAGTGATGATTGTGGTAGTTAGAGTTGGTCATGGTGTAGGTTGTGGTGATACACGGTGATGATGATAATAATGATGATGATAATGATCTAGTACACTACCACCACTACCTTCACCACCACCTCCACCACAACCACCACCACAACCACCACCACAACCACCATCACCTCCACCACCACCACAACCACCACCACAACCACCATCACCTCCACCACCACCCTAGTGACTCTGCACAAAACTATTGGTCACCACCTCAAAGTGCACAATAACAAGTGGCTGTCACCATCAGCGTGCACAATAGCGGTCACCAGTACAGTTAAGACCATCAGAATAGAGGTCAACATTACCGTGCACAAGTGAACACCACCATCGCCGTGCACAACACTCTCCGCCATAACTATGCACCACCAGCCACCACTTGCGCGACACTCCGTCGTGCACATTAGAATGCAATGCACAGTTCTGTATCCACTGTGACTGTTCACAACAGATGAGGGCGGCCAGCAGCTCGTCGTGCACAAAAGATTGCCTTGCACAAATGGTCACAGTGCACAGCAGACTGTTACTGGCACAGCAGGCCCCATACAGTATGTACCTGTACACAAGAGGTCCCTGTGCACAAAGGGTCAGTGTACAGTAAGTGACCACCACCGTTAACAACACCAGGTGGGGGCACAAGGTCCCAGCACATAATGTATAATAATACTCATGCAGGGGGCAGCTCCTCACGTTCACGACACCAACGTGCACTAATCCTCGTTGGCGGAGTCACACACACACACACACACACACACACACACACACACACACTACCGTATCCGAACACAGCTCCGTGCACATCAAAACAGCCCCGCCAACATTACTCCTAAGACGTGAATGATCCTGAGAGTTTAAAAAAATTATATATAAAAATCAGTCTCTCTCTCTCTCTCTCTCTTCTTTTCAATTTTCTTTTTCCTATTATTTATCTTCGTTTTCCTCTTCTTCTTCGCATGGGTCAGTGATGGAGGCAACACAGCCGGCGAGGTCAGAGCTCTGTGTCGCCGCCTCACACCACACACAAATTACCCGTTCTGCTTTGATTCACGTCCGCTCCGATACCTTCAACTTGACCCTGGCTTCGGCTAGCCCTCCACCCATCAGTGTTCCCAAAACCTCTTTATCTAACGGGTTCCTGGCGTGTGTCTGTATGTATGGTATGTCTTGTGTTTGTGTCTGGTGTAGGAGGAAGTGTTTGTGGGGCATTTGGAGGTAGGTTTGTAGGGGTTTTGGGAGGATTTTTTGAAGGGTGGGTGTTTGTAGTTAGGTGTTGGAGGGATGGGATTGAGAGACGATCCTTAGTTGCAGAGCATTGTGAGAGCATCTTCACGCAGGGCACGACTCTCTGGCGTTTCTATGATGGGGTATAGATAGATAGATAGATAGATAGATAGATAGATAGATAGATAGATAGATATTGAGAAAAGTGAATAACATTAAAATACAAAATAAGAATTGATTAATGATAAGTTCTCACGGTCGACAAGTTACCTGTGACCTGTACTCACCTGGGGAGCTCCACAACAAGTTACCTGTGAATATTATACTCACCTGGAAAGCTCATCATAAATCCCCTAACAAACATAGCTTGGCCAGGAGCCGTTCATTACTGGGTATTAAACATCCTTCACTGGAGCACCACTTCCATCAGCTAGGTCAAGTCAGGCGGGTTTTAGGTACAATAATTAAACACAGGTGAAGATTATCCTACTATCGGTACATGTGATAATATTCTGTCTATTTCTATGTCTCTTTATCTGTCTCTCTGTCTCTCTGTCTCTCTGTCTTTCTTTATCTGTGTGTCTCTATATCTCTAGCTTTATTTTGATCTATATCCCTGTTTTTATCTCTATGTTACTGTATATATCTGTCCTTATATCTCCGTCTCTTTACATCTCCTATCTCTACGTGTCTCTCAGCTCTACTCCCCCAAGGTAGGTAGGTAGGTAGGTTGGTAGTGGGTTGGTAGTGGGTTGGTTGGTAGGTTGGTAGGTAGGTAGGTAGGTTGGTAGGTAGGTAGAGAACTCGTGTACTTGGCATGGTTGGTCACCAGCTACTCATTGTCATTCATAAACTACTGTACCATTATTCTACCAATACTGATGGTGATTTCCAATTAGGTATGTGTGTGTGTGTGTGTGTGTGTGTGTGTGTGTGTGTGTGTGTGTGTGTGTGTGTGTGTGTGTGTGTTGTGTGTGTGTGTGTCTCCCAGATAGGATTCACATGACTATCACCACTACAACCACCACCTCTAGAGTTACAACTACTACCATCACCATTACAACAATATTCACAGTCTAATACTACCCTCCGTACTATACCGTTAACCACCACTACTACTATCAACCATACTACTACCACCATCACATCACCAACCACTACTACCACTACTTCCATCAACCATCTACTACTATTACGTTCCTCCTTCCCATCACCCACGCTACCACCACCACCACTAAAACCACAACTCTACCCTACCACCAACTATCTGCTACCACACTGCACTATCACCACCTAACACTGCTTCTATTAGTTGGATCCTCAGTAGGAAGTGGGCATAGGGCCGTATATAGCAGCAGGAGTGGGCGTGAGGCATATATAGCAGTAGGATGGGCGTAGAGGCATCGTATAGCAGTAGGAGTGGCATTAGGGCATCGTATGTAGGAGTGAGCGTAGAGGCATCGTATAGCAGTAAGGTGGGCGTAGAGGCATCGTAGCAGTAGGTGGGCGTGAGGCATCGTATAGCAGCAGAGGGTGAGCGTAGAGGCACGTCGTATAACAGGAAGAGGAAGAGGAGGAGGAAAAGGCATAACAGGAATGGATAAAATAAGAAAGTATAGCAGCAACGTGAAGAAATGTAAAGGAGGAAAGAAGGTGGAATGAGAAGGAGTTGGAGGAGAAGAGGAAAATAGCAGGAGGAGGAGGAGGAGGAGGTAAGGAAAATAGCAGGAGGAGGAGGAGGAAGAGCATAACAGGAGGTACAGGGGGGGTATAGCTGCAGAAGGAGCGTATATCAGCAGCGAGAGAGTAAGGAGGGATGGACCTCCCCATCAGGCAGCAGCCCCAGGCGCCGTGAGTCGTGACACCCGGACACTGACCCACACAACGCCACCACCATCGCTACCGCCACCACCACCACCCTGCTGCTATCGCCGCCACCACCACCACCGCCACCACACCCGCCACCACCACCACCACCACTACCACTACTGCTATCACCGCCACCACTACTCACATCACCACCGCTACCGCTACCACCACCACCACCACCACTACTGCCATCACCGCCACCACTACCATCACCACTGGCCACCACAACCACCACCACCACCACTCACTGCCATCACCGCCACCACTACCGCTATCACCACCACTACCGCCACCACCACCACCACCACCACTACTGCCATCACCGCCACCACTACCGCTATCACCACCGCTACCGCCACCACCACCACCACCACCACTACTGCTATCATCACACCACTACTCCATCACCACCGCTACCGCTACCACCACCCACCACCACCACTACTGCCATCACCGCCACCACTACCACATCACCACCGCTACCGCTACCACCACCACCACCACCACTAACAGCCATCATCACCGCCACCACCATCATATCACCACCCAATACACATATCACCACCACCACCACCTTTATCACCGCCACCATTCACCATGCTGCTATCACCGCCACTGCCATCACCGCTACCACCACCACCACCACCACCACCGCAGATGTTGACCTGCTGTTTCCTACTTCTTGTGGCCACGGTAGAATGTTGACCTATCCTTCTGCTTCTGCTTCTGCTGCTGTAGATGTTGGTGGTGATTTGTTGTCATGGATGATGGTGTTGATACTAATGGTAGTGGTAGGGAAGGAGGAGGGAAGAGGATGGAGGGAGTGGAGGTAGGGAGGAGGGGGAGAGGTAGACAGGGAGGGAAAGAGGGAGGAGGAGAGAGGATGGTGGTAGTGGTGTTAGGGTGTAGGACTAATTTTTATGTAAATCAGGAGAGGTTGTCATCACACAGTCAGAGCCCTACACGGGGATTACGGATCAATAGCCACTGAAATATGGAAATTACGCCAAAAATTATGAAAGGAATTATAGATCATGTCCCCCACCCCTAGTATTCCCACCATCCCCTTGCAATCCTACCATCCTCCTACCACCCCCAACCACCCCAAACACGTCCCCAACTCAATATTATTTAACTATTCCGACGTGACTATTTTTTCCACGATATATTTTAGTAATAATTTATTTGGCTAATTATTGGTTTTCATCATTTTTTCCAAGGGGAGGACAAAGGGGGTCAGGTCACACAGGTCACACGGGGTCAGGTCACGCGGGGGTCAGGTCACGGTATATTGTCATTTTGGGATAAAGTAAGGATTGAGTTTTATTATTATTATTATTATTATTATTATTATTATTATTATATTATTATTATTATTATATATATATTGTTATTATTATTATTATTATTATTATTATTATTATTATTAGATATATCAATCACAGACAATAGCTAAAAGAACAAAAGAGAGAGAGAAACAAACAAACAGAGAGGAGAGAGAGACCCAGACAGACATAATCAGAAAGGCACAAAAGAGAGAGAGAAGAGGGGGCGACAGCCTGAACGCGTCCAGGTCCTGATGGCCGTCGTGGCCAAATCGGCCGAAGAGAAATTTGATTGATGACGTGATAAATAGCCAGAGTTTTCATTGATACAATCAGCGAGAGACACAAGCCTGCCCTCAGTTGGGTGACTCAGAGGTGTAGTGTGGAGGGTAGTGGTGGTGGTAGGGTAGATGGTGAGGATAGTGGTGATGGTGAGGATAGTGGTGATGGTGAGGATAGTGGTGATGGTGAGATAGTGGTGGTGGTGAGGATAGTGGTGATGGTGAGGATAGTGGTGATAGAAGATAGTGGTGGTGGTGAGGATAGTGGTCATGGTGAGGATAGTGGTGAAGGAGGAGAGAAAGGATGGTGAGGATAGTGGTGATGGTGGAGGATAGTGGTGATGAAGAGGATAGTGGTGATGATGAGGATGGTGGTGATGGTGAGGATAATGGTGATGGTGAGGATAATGGTGATGAAAAGTGGTGATGATAGTGGATAAAGGTGGTGGTGAGGATAGTGGTGATGGAATAGTGGTGATGGTGAGGATAGTGGTGGTGGTGGGAGGATAGTGGTGGTGGTGAGGATAAGTGGTGGTGGTGAGGATAGTAGTGATGATATTAATAAATGATAAAAACAATAATAATAATAATAATAATAATAATAATAACGTAAATAAATAGAAAATAATAGATTACGATATAAGCTTGTTTAATCCCATAAATAGTCTAGTGGTGATCACCGAAGAGGCGATACTGTCTATATTTGACTTAAGAAAATAGAAAACACAACCTTTACGCTTCAAGAATTTACCTCAGTCAAGTTTTTACAATACCGGATAATTTTTCTTAGAGACAAAATTCCAAGCAAATATGCTCAAAAAAAAATTGTCTAGTATTAATGTGGTTATGATAATTTGTTTCTTTTGTGCTGGTAATTTTCAATAATGTTTCGTGCAAAAGT